TACGATTTCGAGAAATTGTGTAGTCGTTATCTCGACGCGAAGAGAATTTTCTCCCTTCATTTGACAAGAATTTTTCAAATATTGCATCACTATTATATAGTTGAATTTATGTTTTTTAAAAGACTGCATGTTAACCATTTAAATTTTTATTTACTCGAATATCTTGGAAATTGTCGAGGAATGGTTTTGAAAATATATTAGTTTCAATTCTTTTTCAAGCGAAAGTATAAACATTGACATTAATCATCCGAATCTTGAGTAGATTTTTTATAAGAAAGGAATTTATAAATTTTTAAATTGTTATCAATAAGATTACAGCGATCTTTGATATTAATAATAAAGTATAAATCAAAGAATTATTTTTCCATTTTTTTCCATTCTGTACTTATATTATTTTTCAATAAATATAATTTTTATTACGAAATAATTTAATAGATCGATTTAATGATCTATTTCAATTTTCATCCGTATCTTCTTCTTACATATCTTTTAAAGGAGATAATTTTTTAGCTATTCGCAAAGAGGATAATATTTCTAAAGGGATACATCTGGCGAATCTTGCCATTCTCTCTTCTAGGCCATATTTCACTACCCATGAAATGCTCGAATACCTAGATTTATAGTCTCGATAGTTTTAGAAAAGCCCAGGCAACGGAGTTGGATACTTTATTATCCTGTTGATTTCTCTCTACCGGAAAATCTATCAAAGTTTTCAAAGATAATGACATGAAAAAATCGAGAATAGATAAATAAATTTTATTTTCAACTATCATTATCCATTGTTCTTTTATTATTTTTTATTTTCAATTCATCGATTTATCTCATATATTATTAAACACATAGATCGTTGTAAGTCTTTTATAATTTTTGAGATTTTAATTTATTATTACAACAACTAGTCGATAAATTTTTCTTTTAAATTATATATTCTTCGTAAAGAATAAATAAAATTTACCAGTTATTCCAAACAATTATTAAACTACTATTAAACAGTTCTCAATGGACACTTGGTATATATTATAGTAAAAAAAATTTTATTGTCGTGTACTACGACAAAATTATAATTTCGTTAAAATATCGAACAGGAAATTCGGGTTGTTAATCGAAAAGCAGACTCTTGGCGAAAGAATCGATATAAAGGGAGGGGGGGGGGGATGAAAACTCGACGATTTCGAGGGATTGAAAAAGTTCTTGAAAGCACTCTCGTGGAATCTCATTGGGTGTCACGAAGAAGAAGAAGAAGAAGAAGAAGAAGAAGAAGCTCGTTTAACGAGCAAACCTTTTTTTCTTCGCTGACCGAAAGAAAACGAGAGGCATAAAAGCCATCCTTTTCGTGAATACGCATTGAAATTTACCTGGAAAAGAATCTCACTTTGGATTAAAATTGAAACGACTGATATCGATCGCACATTAAAATTGAAAACTTCTCGTTCACGAGAAACAGAACTTATATCGGAGACGAGATCAGAATTTTTCTTATCCCCTTTCTTTAGAAGAAGACATAAAATCTTTAATTGCAAATTTTAAACTTGGAAAATTCTCTGGATTTTATTTAAATGAAACTTTTAAAATTCAATTAGTTTGACGAATGAAAGAAAGAAGGTTCGTATACATATATTTTATACGTATATATATATATACATATATCACGTATCTTCAACTATTAGAAAAATAGTTTAAAATTCCATTTTCTTTCTCCAATTAGTCATGCATATTTTATTGTCTTTGCACTCATTGTATATATATATCGATCATCGATCATTATTCATACGTACCAGCTTAACTATAGTTCGAGCTAATATTAGATACCAAGGTCAATTCTTATTCCAAGACCTTTCTCCCTATCGAACTTGTATTTATTGTCGTTTATCGCATGTCAACGTTTCAATCGTCTGGAAACTTTTTCCGTTACGCTGTTTTTATTAGCTTTTCCTCTTTCATTATGACATAACCTATGACGTAATACTCAAAGAAGAAACATCGCGTGTTATGCATTCGTCAATCGACTGCTACCATTTATCACTCATTCTTTGCATCAATCCTTCTTTTTTTTTTTTTTTATCTAATATTTATATCTAATATTTAATCGACGCGATACAAATTATTCTTAAATAGTTAATAATTTTCTAGATCACGGATTAATTAATACGAATTTTCAGAACTATTTTTAAATAGCAAATATCTCAAAATACAATTTATTATGATTTATGATGCTAATAAACAAAAAAAAAAGAAAATAATGAAAAATAATGATTCGATGAAAATCGATGAAAAAAAGCGTTAAATTCGTACGAATTTTCATTAAAAATACAAAACGGAACAAACGTGAAAAAAGAAATTTCGTCAAAAGAAATTAACAAAGAAAAGAAGGAAAGAAACAATATCAATATAAATTTACACCATTGGCTATTTGATGTCGCTTAATTATGGATGAGTGAAACCTAGAATGCCACCATTCATAAATTTTAACTTTGTGTGTGTTAATCGAACTTCCCTACCAGGTTTCTACAAATATACTCGTATGACACGTAAAAAAAAAAAAAGAAAAAGAAAAAAGGGAAAAAAAGAAAAAAAAAAAAGACAGAGACGAGCGTCAATTGAAGAGGAAAACTTTACAAACAAACAAAAGATCTCAAGTTTACATGACTACGATTCACTCGACACTGATTACAATTCACTCCATGTCTCTCGAGTTTGGAAGAAAATCGAAACAATAAAATCACAAAGACAAATGAAACGTATTGTACAATTGTAATCTGCAAAGGATTGTTTTGATTTTTTCTCCCTTTTCATACTTGCAAAAGAATTCACGATGAAGATCAAAGTCATTCTTTAATGAAAATTGATGAGATGCATGAAGAAAAAAAAAAAAAGATGAAGTAAAGACGAAAAGAGATATTTAGTTTTTTAAATTAATATCTATCTATGAATTTTATAATAACAGTTGTTGATGATGTTTATCATGAATCTTATTGTAATCTATGATAGGGCTTTTGATTTGGTATCTATTTAGATAATTATTATATTATCTCGTAATTAGCGTTTATTATTATGGACTAACTAATTATATTAAATAAATAATTATACTGGTTGCTGTAATATTAATAGAAGATTCATACTCAAATATTAAACTATTTCAAAAGTTCTTCTCATTCTTTCACGGAATTAATATTATGCAAATAACGCAACTATTTTATTTCTCATTAAATTCCCTTTCTCATTAAATTAGCAGTTATTAATTCGTTAATTGCATATCCATCGACAATCTAATAATAAAGTCATAAATCACTCCTTCGCGTAATCTCCATTTAAACACTATTCCATCGACTAATAATAATTCTAGAACAAATAAATCATCGAGTAATATATCAATTTAATATATAAATAATTCTATTTTTGCTTTGTTTTAATATAACGTGTTTATTTTAATATACATACGTCCCTTTATCATTCTCTTTAACATTTGAAATACTATATCCGTTACATTGTAAGATTTAAAGCTGATAACAACCGACCTATTCTACTTGTTTCACCACGACCGATCTATTTATCTCTACTTGCCTAATTATTATCGATTTTTTTACTACTTAGAATCGAATTATAAGTGACTTTTACACAATCGATCTATCCTGCATAAGGATAAATAACGCGTTCTACTTGTCCAATTACGAAAATTTTGTTTACTCGTCCGATTACAGATGTTTTAATCTACAACCGATTTATTCTACTCTGACCATTGAAGTTGTCTATTACTCGCTTATTAATCACCGATTTACATCAATTAGCCAACTATGAATGATCTATACACACAATTAATATATTCTATTATTATTAAATTTATTATACGATCAACACGAGATATGATTTAAGATTCGTTGAAAAAAGTCTGATTATATTTTTTATTCGTTCAATCGTTTTTTCACAAAACATTTTAAGTAAAAATATTCCATCGATTTTTTTCAATTTATAAAAGGAAAAATAGACAAGATCCGTTTGAAGAGGATTTTCGCGGCAGGAATATCAAAGGGCGCGATCATCGATAGCGGAAAAGGCCAATAAATCTATTGCAATGTATTGTAACAATCGTAAATGGAAACAATTTCAAAGTTAAGTTGTGGGCTAAGTACGGTCGATGCTTCGAGTGTACACCTTCATGAATGGAGATTAATAGGGAACGAACTAGTTCCAAGTAGTTCCACCTATGTACTTTGATTTCAACTTACTTAGCATTTCACTTCGAAAGCTGCTGCTATCGATTTTAAACCGATATTGCTGCCGGTTTCAAAAGGTTTTGCTATTCAGGCAAATTGCGTTGTTGAGAATTTAGCGAGGACTCACCAGAATCTCTTGAATTGTTTGTGTTTCTTTGGAGAAATGTAGAGAATGGGGAGTGATATCTAGAGAAAATGAAGACAGTGTTTTGTAGACAGACACGAAGGTGGCAACGAGGTAATGGAATACGTGGAATCGTTTCGTGAAGCAAAAACGAGGGAATGGATGGAACGGAGATTGAATTTGATTTCGAGAAGCCAACAAGATTGTAAATTAAACTGATATATTATCGAACGATTTCAAATATTGCTAACTAACGCTAACTAACATTAACTAACTAACGTTGGATTATTTTGCAAATTATTTTGTATTACGCGAACGAAAAACAGATGAATATTTTTATTCGATATAATTAAAATCTATTTTTCATCCATCTCAATTTCTTAATTATAATTATCACAAGCGTCTACTTGCTACTTTTTCATTTTTGTTCTTAAACACACTTGTCCGAAGTTAATTTCACAATAATTTCACGATACTATAAATAAATACTTTTTTGATAATTTATCTAATCCTCACTTGCGTACAATTGCAACGAAAAAAAAAAAAACCAACTAAAAAGAACTAACAATGAAATTATTCCGTAAAAAAACATTTGTTTCTCCATCCATCCACTTTATTACCTCTTCTTCTTCTCATCAATGAACATCTGTTCTTTCTTTCAACAGGTATATCATCACGTCTCTGTGCGACACCTGCGAGAGCAGCGACTCGGTGGTGGCAGTGGTATTCTGGGTAGGATACTTCAACAGCGCGCTAAATCCACTCATCTACGCCTACTTCAATCGCGACTTCCGGGTCGCGTTCAGAAAAACGTTGAAGAGCTGTTGCGTTGCCCTGCGTCCGGTTCGCGATCTACGTCAAGCTCATAGAAAGCAGGATCTCGTGCACAGTAACGCGTCCTCGGAATTACACGTGAACAATCAACTGAGAGCCAGCGAGATGACGAACGTCCACATCGAGGCGTGTATCTGAGTTTTCAGCAAATTCGATTCTCCTTCAACTTTCGAAACGAAGAGGAGGAGGAGGAAGAAAAAGGAAAAGGATCTAATCTTCTTTCTTATTAATTTAAGACGATCGTTCGATCGACGACTGTTGAAAATTTTTGATTCGTGTACAATTAGAGATTTTACGAATTAATATCCCCAATTGGCGATAAACGGCCAATGACAGTCATGTAATCAAGTGTTAACTAATTAATGGTCAGAGATCACGAAGATTGTTTCGCTTGCCAATTAAAAAGTGGGACAGTGCGGAAGATATTTTCGATCGCCAATTGAAGAAAGGAGAGGCGCGATAACCGACGAATGTTTTTTGAACCGTGATTCCAATTCCGTTGTTTTATCGGTAAAAAAGTGCGGAGTCTGTTGGCTTTTTAACTTGAAACAGTTTCAGTGTTGAACAGTGAATGAACGAAGTTGTCGAGGTATCTATGTTGCGAGCCAATTTATGGGAGAGAACAGAGTTGAACGATTTATACGCCTTGTTCGATCGATGATTCGAAGGATTGTTAAACTTTTTTATATCGTTTCGTTTCATTTTTTTTTTTTTTTTTTTACGAGAACGAATTATATTAATAACTGATATGATTTATAAAAGGATTTAATTTACGAAAGGATGAGTAGATATATTTTTTAGTATCGTAGTAATTCGTTTTTAATGTTGTTGTAAATAAAATACTTTTGATCGATAAATAAATAAGAAATTGCATCGTTTCTTTCAATCATCGTAAAAAAACTTTGAAATTTTTAAAATTTTCCAGAATTTACTTGTACGTAATATAATTACGATTAAAGGAATTTATATTTTTTCTTTTTCGAAGAAATTATTAAATGATTTCAATCAAGTATAGAAATTGAATACTTTACGTACATCCATTTTTGAAATATATGAAAAAAAAAAAAATCTATCTTCACGTACGGATAAATTCAATGCAAAAATTCAAGAGTCAAATGAACTATATGCGAAAAATAAAATATACGTACCTACTCATCCTTTGATCAATTTTATAGATGATATCGTTATCGACTCGTTTTCGTGGTTTAAGTTGAGTTTCATGGTATCGTGAACACGAATGAAAATAGAAAATTCGTTTAAAACATTCGATGTAAAGATATGTAGAATATATCTTGTTAAAATCTTTACAAAAAAAAAAAAATCGAAGAAAATTGAGAAACAACGATTCTTGCGATACGCGTCGATTATAGTCGTAAGTGCAGTTGGTGTGCATTGCGGATAACGCGATATTAAAGGAGAAGATTAATACTGGAAGGAAGATAGCGAAACAAGGAATTTTTAACACGGTCAAGCTATTTTAAGACGGTGGTTGCTCACTTGCCAGACGCTGTCGTCTATTTTCTTCGTTTTATCAAGTCCGTAAATAAGGTTGCTGCCCCCGGGGGCAGATGGATGATCTGATTTGAGTAATATTTTAAGATTGGCCTGATAACGTCACTTTCCACTCCATTCTTGCTTCTTTCCATTTTCTCGCGCTCGCGTTATTAAATTATCCCTCTTTCCCCCTTTCGAAACGAAAATAGGACGGATGAAAAATTGAAGATAAAATAAAGAAATTGTTTTCGTAACGGTTTCGTTAAAAAATGTGCATATATTTTGCTTCATTTGTGCATTTTGTGTATTATCCCTCCTTGTATATAATATTTGAATATCATTTTTTGTCATCATTTCTAATTACTTACTTTCTTCTTCTCACGTTTGATGAAAAATTTAATAAACTGTTCCAACGAACGAAGCCTTTCACACTTTCGTTTAACGAAGAAAGATCAAAAATACATCGATGCACACACTGTTTCTTTTTAATATATAAATTAATTAAATTTAATTCAATAAATGAATTATTCGAATTCCGCAAAAATCTCATTATTTTAAATTTTCATATTTTCTTAAAATGATTATATCTAAAGAGGATGGAAAAAAGGAACGACATCACATGCACTTAATTGAAAATTTTAATTAAGAAAAAATCCATTCGATAAAAAGGCGAATTTATTAAAAATCGTTTCAAAGTCAGACGCAAAAGTTGTTGCGTAGAACAAACATGATTGTGGTCGGTGAACATCGTATTAAACGACGAAAATTACCTTAAGTGATGAAAATGCCTCGGTTTCACGTTGACACGAGGAATTAAAGGATAAACGCGAAGTCGACGCGAAAGGAACGCAAGATTATTCCCGAAAGGACGAACCTCTTGTATTTGAATAAAGCCAAAGAAATATGCTGCATTTGCCACCAAACAAAAAAGAGGAAACAGTAATTTTCATAAAAATTCTTTTTACATTTACGCTTCACAAATGAAATTTTTGATGAAAATTATAGAAACTTTAATTTTTTATTATTATTATTATTATTGTATAATTGGTATATATAATAAATATACTCGATGATTAACTTACAATCTTACGATAAATCTTCACGTTGTATAATCTTAGTATCAAGTTGTTGCACAGAATTCAAGTTTTAACGCTATGAAGATGATTATATCGTCGATTTAACAGCGAAAGCGCATACCTGTTAATATAATCGAATCTGCGCGCAACATTTCCGCTTCAAAGGAAACGACATTGCAAAGCAAGTCGTTCGAATAATGAATGAACAGATAACGGAATATTTACAATATTCTGATAATACGAATTCACTGCGAATTCAACAAGCTATGAATGAAATTGTTTTGGACCGAACGAGTAAAATGGACCACTGGATTGGATTTCTGAAAATTTTACACCATTCAAATTGAACTCGACAAAACGGAGAACTGGGGGAAAAAAAAAAAAAAAAGATAGACACATCACGACGAGTTATCAATTGTATCGATCGAAATTAAAATGTTATTTGTAGAATTTGGAGAGAATTTGTGTAATTGAAAAAAAAAAAATGGAAATGTGAATTTTATAGGACAATGATGGATAGATAGATAGAATTTGTGTTATTTGTCATAAACAAACTTTATGAAGATTGAAGTAAGAAATTGCAAGCGATTTATCCTTGCCGCAAAATATCAAGATAAATATAATAAAATTATCATTATTTCAGATCATTTATTGAATTTTTTTCTATTACCTATTTTTATTTATTTTTTATTATTATTATTATTATAACTATATCAGATATAATTTTTTTTAATATAACATCGATATTTAATGCAAATCTTGTCTTTTTTCAACGACAAAACAAATTATATTCTTTTTGCGCAAAATGCAATTTCAAGCTAAATCGTGAAAGGAAATATACACAACTGTTCTTTCAATAAATCAACGAAACTTTCAAACAACTTTTATTAGACCAGCAAAAACTTTCATTAATAAATATTTCGTTGAAAGGAAACTTCTTAAAGAAGTGAGATTCTTTTTTTTTTTTTTTGGAAATATATTGTAACGATGACGAAGCGATATTTCAATGATGGAAAAAACTGTTACAGAAGGAGAATTTATACCAAGTCTTGGGAAACGAATGCTTCGATAAATTTTTCGTAGAACACGAATTGTTTCGCGAGCAATATTGTGCTAGTAAAATCCATGTATCATGCAACGTTTGCGGTGAAAAAGTTACGCGTTATACAAGTGATTACAGTGACTCTTCGTTACTTTTTTCTTTTTCATCGCGGAGGATACAAAAGGCGAACAGAAACTTGGAAATCTTTTATCTTTTCTTTTTTTTTTTTTTTGAAAATCTAAAAGAGAATCTTTTCGTTAAAAAGATCGCGTCTACAGTTCGAAAAAGAATGTCGCACACGTTGTAAAAAAGATTCTGGATCATTAAGAAGCTAAGTATATTTCTCGTCTTAATATTTTAAGTTTCCCGATATTCAATTATTATTTATTTTAAACTCTGATAATATAGTTCCTCGACAAATCAATATTCCGTTCCACCGATTTCGTTATACACGCGAATAAATTAAAAATGGTAATTAAAAATAAATTAACATATATTTTCAAGCTCTTAACGCGACCTACTGCTTTTCAGATACTCTTAATTTTTTTCTTTCAAAGAGAAGTAATTATCAGATTCATTAAAAATATCGTCTCCTCGCGCGTTGGAATCTCGCGTCGCATGGGAGTGGCATTACAGAATTTCGCTTCTTCACCAGAATTTCAAAGTGTCTTGCTGATCTTACAAAGCTGAAGCAATGCATTAAAAATATTACCACGAGTCTCAATGGAATCGATAACCACCACTGTCGAATAAACTCTTTGGCAAAAAATTGTATACCATGGAATTAAATCGGGAAATGAGATTGAAATTTTTCGTGTGTACATAGAGAGAAGAAATATTTCGAAATTATTAAAAGCTCGAGAGAAGCAGAAGAGAAACGAAGAAGAGTGGCTTGGTAAATTAATCGTGATGGAATAAATATCTTGCGATTCTCAGGCAAACTTATATTCAAGATTAAATGCCTTTTTACGCGACTAGAAGAGGATCTCGCCAATTGTCTTTCTCGATCAAATAATATTATTTAAATTTTAAAATGGACGAAGACCGGATGATTGCAAAGAAGGGGATCCTTTTTACTGAATATTTCAAAACCTTTCCATCTCTTCAACTACTTTACATTCTATTGTAATATCATCGAATCACAATACATGAATGACAATTTGATTCGCGCGACAATGGAAGCAAATTATTCGCACTAATTTTCAAATTTCTTTAATATCTACTATATCGCTATATCACTATATTCACACAATAAATCATTGATTATTAAATCGAATTTATAGTGATTCGAGACAAAAAAGTTAACTTTAATAAAACATATTTGATAAAATTAATTGTTAATTTTAATCAGAATTTTCTTTTACGATACCTAATAATATACCTTTTATTAATCATTTATATAAAAATTAGTAGAATAACGCAATATAAATGTATTGAAAAAAAAAAAATTTTGAGAAATAATTTGAATTAAAAATAATAACTTCCATTTGAAATCACTTCACACAATTTAAAGATTAAAAATCCGAATGTTATTGAAGTTAACGAATTAATTAATTATCCAAAAAATTAACGAATTTTTCAATTT